ATATTTATAAGGCTTTTTATTTAATTTTAAAATAATAGCTTTTCCCCCCCGTAATTTTACCATACATTTTTAAAAATCAGGGGGGCGCAGACTTTTGGTACCCTACTGTAGTATTTGCCATTTACAATATAATGTGTCTACTTGGTTTATTTAACGGCTGGTATGTGAAGCTTTTTTATTTTCAAATTCGACACGCCTAAGAATTGCAAAAAAAAAAACCGACTCGAATACATAAAAATACGAACATTTCTAGTCTAGAAATCGACGAGAATCCATTTAAGATACTTGAACTTCGAGGGCTCGAGGGCATCCCGGTGTCTCTCGCCGACATTGTTCTGATCAAAAGCACACCTCAAACTTTTTAAACTGGCCCGTGTATTGCGCACACTGTAGCTCTGGATATTGTGCCATGTTGGCGGTACTGCAAGAGCAAGGGCTCCAGCTACTGCGCCAACCGCCGAGACACCGGCAATAACCTTAACGGAAACCGTGGCAGCCGAGATGCAGCATGCCAAAGTGCTACGTGGCCTGTAAGCGACGACTACGCTCATGGTTTGCAGCCGAACCTACCATATAGCCGCGATGGGCGCCAGTTGCGATTTCGAGGGCTTGATCATTCCCTGGGCCATCTCGACAATCTCCTCCATGACAAGCAGGTCACGGATTGCGCTGTCAGCAGATATCTTCAATCGTGTTGCAGTCGTATTTGCGCCTTGTTGACCTTGTGTAGATATCTCTGTGAGGAGAGCACGGTTAGGAACATGTTCAAGTCAGCTGGTCATAAATAGACTGCTTGTGGGCGCTCGCCTCTGGATGTAGTGGGCTCGTCGACATCAACGACATCAAGGCATTTTAGGTACTGTTTCAAATAGTAGTCGGCTGAGTCCCTGTGAGTCTCGAACCGTGTCCAGATAGCCGCCCGATTTGGTTGGGGCGGTTGCTGCTCGGGTTGGCCAGGTGGCTGTTGGCGGGGGGGTATCAGTGTGGTCTCATCCGCATCGGGGTTGGGGGGGGGCTGCCTCGAGTGATGACGGCGGACGACGGCCGAGTCTTCGGAATCCTGGTGTAACGGCTAAGGTTCCCA